TTCAAAAGAGCTTAATTAGCCACATTGAAAAAACTTTGTTAAAACGTGATAACAATTCGATGGGGAATTAATAAAACTTATGACCATGCAGTAGCATATTTTGATAGAAGGAGGAAATTCAACCAAATAAAATGGTTCAAGGAAGAGTATGCTAGAATAGCTCTGAACACTGGGTCACGGCAGGTTCTTTCCTGTACAGGCCCCTGGAAACATTTCTCAGCCTAAGCTGAACTTGTATTTATTTAACTTTACTGTGGTATTTCTTCCTGCTTCTGAGTTTATCAATAAAATCCTGGGTTTATTTAAGATAACTTGTGTATGTCTTGGATAAAACAAACAAACAGAAAGCCCTCTACTTTTTCTTTCGGGGGTGTGAGTAGGACTGAGGCATTTAATTGCCTTGTGGTTGGACTGTCCTTGTGAGAAGTTTATGAGACTCTCCCTGGACATGACCACAGACTTTGCAGAGTTATCAGCAACAAAGGAGCAGGTAATGATAGAAATACTGATTGTTAGTTACAAAGAAAATACATGTTTATAATGTGACTTCAGTCTAATTTATTTGTGACTTTGCAATATGAAACAGTCTGGATCATGTCGGGAGCAGAAAAGGCATCATCAATGTGCTGTTCTAGTTTTCACATTAATAGTTTCACTTTACCTGTACGTTATGGCTTCTACGTTTCAGTCAGTAAGAAACTGGATTTATGTTAAGATCCTGAATATTAAATTTTGAGAGGAAATACATTAGTTCTCAACTATATGTTTTGTAAAAGTGGTGATATTTCAATGTCAGAACCATCTGGATTTTTACACAAAATACTTGTTTTGAGATGTGTCACTGTTGGGCAGAAAATGAAGAATTGGTTTTGTGGCCTGCAGAGCCCCAGTGAGAGCCAGGCGAGCTTTAAATAGTACTTGTGGAATATCCACAATTCATATTTTTTACATTTCATGGGAAGATGGTATTATTTTTAGTCTTAAAGGGGCCAAGGGGTTAAAACTAATCTGCGTAATTGAACAGCCTGTAAAATACGAGTTGGGATCAGATTTTCACAGCCATTGCAGCTGCAGAAAAGTCTAGCAACTTCTCCTGAAGAGACAAATATTCATGTGATTTCATGTTTATGTTGCTTTAAGGGAGGTAAGTATTTCAGTTACCATACCATTTGTAACAAGAATTTTGTTTCAAACAGGAAAGTGTCCTGACTTTGGGGATCAGAATTTCCCTGTTTCAAGAGCAATATTCCCAAAATCTGTGCCCTGTCCATCAGTTAGTACTAAGATGGAAAACCCAACAGCATTAGTTTAGCTATACTTACTTTCTGGCACTACTTACTGTTATACTTGTGAGAAGCAGTTAGTCCTGGTGTACTTAATCATGTGCAGATAGGAGTAGCAAGTTCTATTTCTGCCCCAAACTTTACAGTGTAGTTGGATAAGGCTACTGGAATGGAGTATGTGATTCACAGAGTTAACAGTATCTGATAGAAGATCTTATACTGGTTAAATGACTTTTGTTTTAATTTTGTTTGGTTGGTTAGGAAGTGATAAGTCAACTGGGATGAAACCCTCAAGGAAAGAAGACAAAGTTAGGTGCTGGGGATAAAACCATGCAAGAGTGCTGTTGTGGAGTATGTTTGAGGACAGAGCAGGGGGAAAGAGATTCAGGATAAGCAGCTGAGGAGCACAGGGCTGAGGAAGTCCTGCCACAGTTGGGTTGCTCTATGCTCTCTGCTTTGGCAGCTTCTGTAGCTGCTCCTGCTGTTTGGGGTTTCTGGCTTGTTCTTTACCAGCAGTTTTTTCTTTAGACAATATGGTTGGCAAAGAAGGAAAAAGGCACACCTAAGTTCTTGCACTTTAAAAATTATAGTCTCTCTTACATGTTTTGATCCAGGACAGTCCAGTAAAGAGGAATTAAGACCCTTTTGGAGTTTTTGGTGTCTGTTTGCAACAGGTCCTGAGCCTTGCTGTAGTCTTGCCTCACTCATGCTTGTAATACTACAGCTTGGGTATCAGTCCCTGCTTTTGAAGCTTCATTCTATTGTTTTCATACATTATATTTTTTTTACAAAAAAATATTCTAAACTACAAAAGCCCTGGAAATGCTGAGTTGTGTTTCTTTTTCTAAAATGAAGTTTAAAGTAATTTATTTTACGACCCTGTCTCTAAATATATTTTTTTGCTACTTCTGCTTTTTTATGTGAACGACCCCATAAGAGAAACAAAATAAACAGATGGAAAATAATGAGACAAGAAAGCTTCAAATTGCCATCAAAGTACATAACATAAATTAACTAAGACTCGACATTTTCTTAAGTGTACTTGGTGTTATTCCTAACTGTTCATGCTGACAGTAATATATAAAATGTATTATCTTTATGTGCTGATAAAGGATAAAAAATAGGTAAATTATAAAATTATTTTTGATTTGACTGCTAAAGGATATTGGTGTGCAATACAGGAAATCAGCCTGTCTGTCAGCTTGAAACTGTTTTCCTGTAGAACCTTTGAATAGTTTAAATATTCTGTCACGTCTGTTTTCTTTTCTTGGTTCTTATGAATTCTTTTTTTGGCAGTTGTGCCTTAACACAAGTAATCTTCTGTGGTACTATGCTGACTTTGTACATTTTTGTACTGTGCAGGAGTTTTGAAATATGTGATAAATAGGCTACTGTGTTTCCCAATGCATGAGATGCCTTTTACCCCCCCTCCCTGTGTAAGTGCAGATATATGATCTTGTTTGTATCCTGCCCACTAAAGTGTGTAATAATTAATAGGATAGTTGACTTCTGACCAATTACTAAAAGGAAATATAACTTATTTTTTGGTAGTCACTTTGAATTTCAGTGTGAGCGAGCCTGATTTAACATAAATGAGTACAGAGCCAAATCTAGGTATGAATTACTGCAAATACTTGTACCTGTGGAAGGATATTTATCTCTTAATAACAAGTTGTGTTGACTAAAATTTTATATTCTGCATTTGATATTAGTTCATACATTGCTATTACTGGAGAATTTCTGATAGTTGCTAATATAGATCAGCAGCCATAGTGTTTTTGCAGGGCAAAATACAGAGGGAAAACCAGAAATAGTTGTGGTTAGGTGATTTAGTCTACTAAAACTTGACTAGGACACACAGAATTGGGTGAAAGTGAAGAAGTTAGTCAAATGGCACATACGAGTTTTGTCTTATCAAGGTTTGTCTGCTGGAAACAGCAAAGCAACAGTATCATAGGTTTTCTATGAAAATGTACATTATTTCTACAGATTCGTAAGGTATTATAGTCTGCCAAAGTAGTGATTATTTAAAGAAAATGAAAAATATTACAGAGTGTTTTCACACTTGTCATAGAAACAATAGGGTAAAAATACTGCAGGAAGCAGGACAAATGAGAGTTATATTTGAGATTGTTCTTATCTAAGGTAAAATATGGAAAACGGAAGGAATATTCTCAGAAAACCCAATGATCATGAAAACATACTGTAGATCATGGTATATTATGCTGCTGTGTATGCAGAATTTCTGATGGCAAGTCAAATCATTCTTGGTATTTTTGTACCGTAAAATAAGCAAATGAAAAAAGAATAGAATAGCAAATTGTCTTAATGAGGTGCAGACATACTGGGGCTATGAAGAAGCCACTCTTGCTAATTGTTGTCACGTAAGCCTAGGATTGCTTGAGCAAGAAGGAATTGTGCTACTTATTACGCCTTATTACGCATAAAAGCTTTTGCCCTTGGATGTTTCCTGTCATAGACCTTTGGAAAGTGTTATGAAGGAACACTGGAGTTGGTGGGTGATGGACGGATGGTTGGGTGTTTACACTGCAGGGAGCTTGCAAGTCCTTACTATATAGGTGTGTTAATTGATTGAACCTTTGGAAAGGGGTCATAAGCAGAAGCAAAATGTAGAAGCAAGGCACTTGCTGGAAGTAAGTGTGACTGTACAAGGCAATTTAGAGCTACAATTCTGAAAAAAGAGAGAGACTTACGTTGTTTCAGTGGTTGTGAGAATCAAGATGACGTGCATTTAGTGGTGAACTATGAAAAACAGGCTACTGATTAAAGGTAAGAAAACAATAAAGCTTATCTTCACTGCTGTAAAGCCATCTAAAGAAGGCATAAGGTTTTACTGGAAGTAATTGTTACAATTCAAAGTGAATGAATTTTTTCACCGCTTTGTCTTTGAGGGGTTGATGGGAGAAGTGTATCTTCTGCACAGAAAATGCAGAACTTGTTGATAAGTTTAGGACTGCTTTAATTGTACTTTTATCAGAGCTTTGATAATTGTTATAATCCTGCTTCTTGGATTCTTCCCCTTCAGTTGTTAATATAACAACTCTTATGCTTCCTGTTCTGAGGCATGGCCTGTATTTCTGCCAGTGCAGTCGTAATTTTACCCAATCTTCGTCCATTTCCTTATTCATTTAATGTAAAAGTCTATGTAAACATTGTTTAGTCAGCAATGATATTTTCCCATTATACCGTTTTTATTGTGGCAAATTTATCGTGTCTCAAAAGTTAATGAATGATAGGTCTAGAATTTGGTGTTTCCCAACTAGGTGAGGAGCATCAGACAGCAGCAACAAAGTTTTCCTGTACCCTGATGTGCATGTAGGAACCCATCTAGGTAGCTGTAACTCACATCCTTGTTGCTGAGGCTTTCAGTGATTGCCTGTCAGTAGTGATGTTGCTTTTGGACACATGTCAGATGAATGTTGCTTTAAAATGCTTTTCAAATAAAAAAATGGAAGTCTCTGTCCTGGTAATTGCAGCCAGATGAAGAATAATTGTTGGTTCTAATTAGATACTTTATGTCTAATGTTTAGTTCTTTAGTCACAAGAAATTTACCGGTTGTTGTCCATTTTTGCTTGTAGGCTTACTTTAGTCTCATGTGTTGTTCAACATCATTATACAGAACAGATTGGTAATTGCAAAAGAGACTTTATTGTGATTTCTTTTTTCTCATGATGGTGGTTGTTGTTGTTGTTTAGGAAGCCTGAATTGACAGACTCTGCCTCTCTGCTAGAGACTTTCAAGTTTCTTGAAAATGCAGCTGCAGACTTTAGTGATGAAGAAGATGAAGAAGAAATTGAAGGAAGAGAGAAAACAATCATTGATACCGCAACAGTGAGTGGAAAAAATAATTGAAAAAGTTACGAAGAGCAGCAAAAGTGAGATTAATGCGATGCCTGTATGCAAACTATATGACTGTGTATGTACACGTGCAAATCATTGATGCATCTTTATGATGTTCTGTCCAAGCATGTGTGCATAAGAGGAATTATATATGCATTTCTGAGTTTGTGCATACGAGTTAAGCGTTGCCTTCTTTATTGCTTTCAGTTTGCAGTGACAGATAAATTTTTTTTTAAATTGTCTTTTTAGTATTTTATACTGTTTTTGATATATATTGGATACAATTTTTAGGGTATCAGATGTCCCTTCTTTGCAATTTTTAGCTCAGTTTGAAGGTATTGTTCATAATGTTGCATGTGAAAAATGCATTGTTTCTTGAATATTTATTAAAAAATACTGATATTTAAAATATCTTGTAGAAATTTGTCCTTGTAGGGTACAGAACTGAAATACATTTCTCTTTAAATAGCTTGTGGAAGGAAGAAAAAGTGTAACTGGAAGAACCCTAATGTGGTTAATAAACTTTTTAAATTATTCAGTCATATGCCTGAACCTCCCTTGTGATCTATACTTTGCTATATGGTTTGTTCCTATGATCCCATAGAATAAATATGTGCAATCAGTACTCAGTTTTATCCTCTTCTTCTTAAAATTAATATCCATTCAGTGAGTTGTGTTTCCTAACAATTGAAGCAGATAAGAGTTATGATGGATGTGATTGTTTCTATGGTCAGTTTTAAGAGTTAACACTTAAAAACCCGTCAGTTCTACAGCATTTTTAAAGAGGACTTTTGTAAATTTGTTCCTGTCTTCCATGGGCTGTGTACTCATGTCTGAGACTCCTCTGTAAAATCGTCTGTAATACAGTATGTTCACTAAGCCTGCTGAAGAAAGGAAGCTGGAAGTTTAGAATTGCATCAGGTTTTGAAATTGGTTCATTGTATTTAGAGGAAACAGTCATTGATCCTCATGAACTATGGGATGTTGGCCTATGCACTGAAGTCTTTTCAGACTGACCCTTAGCAAGGTTCCCAGACAAAATTTTGTGATGAATGTAAATTTCCTTTCTCTGTAGAAGTAAAATTTATGCTGCAGTTATGTATTGTGGCATCAGCTTACTTGTTAGTCAAATAACTAAAACACATCTAGTTCATTTTGATTATTTAGGGAAAAGTAGATTTATTGCAGAAAGCATACAATGAGGCCCTTCATTAAAACACGTATTTTTTTATTTTACCAGAATTTTCTTTCTAGCTTGAAAGGGAAATGCAGTGTAAATGTGAAAGCACCATTTTAAAATAATAATACTGAGAAAGTGTTCAGGATGGAATGATTTGCTAAATCTAAGCAAATTAGCTCTTGTCAGTTTTGCAGTTCTGGTTGTGGGGTTTGATTTTTTTTCCTCCTAGACTTGTCTTTTGCTTTACATGTAGTGTGATTTCAGAAGTGAGAGTGAAAAAGGCTATTTTCAGAGAAGCAGAGTGAGTTTGGTTTTGCTGGAGTCTTTTCTACAGCATTCTGGGGGGTTTGTTTGTGGATTTTGTATGCTTTTCAAGTATCTGTCTTAAGAGAAAGTTTGTACTTTCTGGTATTTAAAAAGTAGCAGTAGTCTAGATCACTGTAAATTGATTGATTAAAGTGATTGATTATTGATGGTCACAGGAAGAGCTAGAGACAAATTTATTTTTGATTTAGAAATTTGAACCACGTCTGTGTACTATTCCAGATTTGCTTATTAATGTGTACTTTTCTGCTTCCTCTTCAACTTCCTGTTAGGGTTTTGCATAGAAAACAAGACAGTATTGCTCAGTGTAAAGATGTGAGTGTGACTTAATTCAGCTTTTTTTCTGTCCTTTCTGACCTTTCAGATTGTAAGGAAAAGAGTCCTATCTGACAGCAGTGAAGACAGAGATACGGAAGAAGCTTTGAAAGAATTTGACTTTTTGGTTACCTCAGATGATGGTGATGCAGAATCGAGAAGTTCAGGAGATGGAACAGACTGGGGTAAGGAAATTTAATGGATTGTACCAGGAGAAAAACAAAATGTGCTAAGAATATATTCTGATTGATCGTTTGATTGATTGCTTGGCATATCTGTCAGGATCACAGCACCTTTTGAGTATTCCTACAGTAAATAATTGGCCGACTGAAGTCCTCTTGGCATAGTATTTTCATTTTTCTGTACATTGATTTAATGTAAGGATTCTTTGAGGTTTATGCTTCTGGTCATTTTTCCTTTTCTGTAATAATAAGGCAGATAGTGGCATTAAGGCAGAGTGGAATTTCAATGTATTTTTCCAGTGACCCATGCTAATGAAGGGCTATGGTAAAGCTGTATTTTACAGTTAGGTTGTGATGGTGATTTAGTCTTCTCTGCTTTCTCCCACTTTAATGCAGAGAGTAATGTGAGTCATAAAGACCAAATTAGTTGTGCTCTTGTGGGTTAGCAATTTGGGCAATATGAACTCTTCAGTTGCTCAGACTTTCGCTTATAATTTATCAGAATAATATATCTTTAAGCCCACTAGTCATAGGGAGACATTTCACAAACTGTTCTCTGTCCTTTGAGGTTCATATCCTGCAACCCAGAATGTCAGCACTCACTATACCTTGACACAACCAAATTAGTTGTGCTCTTGTGGGTTAGCAATTTGGGCAATATGAACTCTTCAGTTGCTCAGACTTTCGCTTATAATTTATCAGAATAATATATCTTTAAGCCCACTAGTCATAGGGAGACATTTCACAAACTGTTCTCTGTCCTTTGAGGTTCATATCCTGCAACCCAGAATGTCAGCACTCACTATACCTTGACACAATTGCCTAAAACTTTGTAGGGAAGAAAGAACTGATTAAATATCTTGATGGGGAGTTGTTTCCTACTTCAGCTGCTCTGGAATGTCTAAAGGATAAGAGGACACAGAGAGAGCTACTGAAGATGAATGGGAAATAATTGAGCTTTATAATGGAACTGCAACTGTGACAGACCAATTAGCAATGGTAGCTGTGGCTCTCATGTGACCTAGGAGCTCTGAGATGGTGCGTTTCACTGATGCCATGTCCAGCTCCTGGTTGGACTCCAAATTATTGATCAGTGTGACATAGTCTCTCTCCTTAAGAGGATGTGTCTCAATACTGTTAGATACAGCAGTCAATATTCTATTCACCAAACAAATTTAGGAATGTTGCTCCTTTTTGTGAAAGATATTTTTATTAGGCTTTTGTGATACATCTCTTAATATTAAAATTTGTGCTTGGTAAGTGTCTTGCTTGTGTCAAGAAAAAGTCAGTATGCCAACAAGAGCTTTTTGTTCCCAAATTCACACTTCTGGTTTATTTTTACTTTCATTGATGGCAGATAAGTACAAATGAGCAGATGTCTAACATAAAAAATAAATTGTCATGAAAAGTAGTAGTTTCATTTCTAGACATAAGACTGTTTTTTTTGAGTTAGAGGTGATAATGTTTTTCAATTACTAGTTTCACAACCTGTGTCTTTTATGGTAACTGTATATAAGACTAAGCTCATTCAAGGAACTGCCATTGTGAATCACTTAGGTTAATTTAAGTGAAGCTGTTAAGAGTAGCATAGTATAGTGATGTAGTGTAGTAAGGACAGAAGCAAACAGGAAATTATTGATTCATTTTGGATCCCAAGTATTACTGATCAGTTACAGTAATCTGTTGAACCCATTTGGCTTGAAAGGTCCTCAGATGTGTTTGGGTAATTTTTAAACTATAAAGCATTTGAACAGGAGTAGTTCAGGTTCCACTTCTGGACAGAATCTGTGGGACATGCAGGAAGCATCCTGGGACAGTCTGTGGAAGATTAATATATTAGGTATTTTACTGACAATACCACAATCTAACAAAAGTCTACTTAAACTTTCTGCAGGAGAGAAAAAAATCTTGTCTAACCAGGGAGGAAAAGCATAATTAAAACTTTTAACCTAGTCCCAGAAAGAATCCATACTTCTTTCTCTGAAGTATGATTTTCTCATACCTTTTTGATTCTTTGTACAGTTTTTGATCATTAGTGGTAATTGGGGCATATGTATTAAGAGGATATGACTTAGCCCACAGACAAACTATTTTAGTCTCTCTTCAACTTACTAATACCTATTTCACAGCTTCTGCAAAAAGACTTATGCCACTAAACTTTGTGTCTTCAATTAATCTGTCACTCATGAGTATAGGATCATGACTGGAGGGTTCAAAGGAGTGTCTCAAAAAGTATCTTGTCCTTTGGCAATGAGAGTCTGAGCAGAGTCTGTCTGTCTTCTCAATGCCTGTACATTAGGTAGTTACAGGCCTCACTAAGATGCCTTTTTTACCATCACTGGACACTCACAGTAGTCTCATCCCTTGTAGCTCATCTGCTCCAGCTGCCTTAACCATCTTGGTGGCTCCCTCAGACTGATACAGTACACTGTTACTGAGTACTTAACGTTATACCTAAAAGGTTTCTCAGTATAAGAATTATTACACTGTATGCAGTCAGTACCCAGTGTGGTCTCAAAGTGCCAAACAGAGGAACAACCACTTCCTTCACCCTACTGGTTACATTCTTGTTAATATAGCCCAGCATATGGTTGATTGCTTTTCCTGCAAGAGTGTCTGCTGACTCTTGTTGAACTGGATGTTGATGGAGGATCCTTAGGTCTTTTTCAGCATAATTCATTTCTAGCAAATCAGTCCCCATAAAATCTCATGTCTGGTTTTTATCTTCTCTCCAATCATAGTGACTCCTTCAGATTGTGATTGATAGTAGTGTGCTTCCTTTACAGACGTTTAATTTCTGCAGCTTAGTCTGAGGATAAGTTTATTATTGTTCAAATTTTAAAAGGTCTAGAATAGCTTATTGACGTACAAAGCGGACTTGGTCTGAAAGGAATGAATTTTTAAATAATAAGGTTGAGATTTTAATGAGAAAAAGCAAAAAGCTAATGCAAAAAATTTTGCAGTGGCAGTGACAATGAAAATAAATATCTGAGGAAAAGCTGTATTACCTCCCCTCCTCTCGCAAATTATTTTTCTAAGCTGCCTCAGTACAGTCTCTCCATATATGGAAAAAATGACTTGGAGATTTGAACTCGCATAACATATTTTGTTCAAAATCTCCAAATACCATACTATTGGAAGGATACTTTTTCTCTGTATCATGTCACAGGGGAAGCAGCTTAAGAGAGATGTTTAGAAAAAACCCAAACCACAGCAAACAAAAAAGTGGAGGGTTTTTTACATTAGGCATGTTGAAATATTTTGTGTATTTTTTCAAAGATTAATAACTCAGGCCTTCACATATTTGTGAAATTTCATGGCTTTAGTGCTTTAGGATTTTATTTAAACCATGATGATATGTATATTATGTTCCAAAACGATTTAAATGCGCTACTCCTTTGTGTAGATGACAGCATAGCACAAAAACAATGAAATGAGAGTTTGAAATGCAATAAGGCAACATCTGAGTTGTAAAGTGATGTTGAATAGTAACATAGCTGCTTCTTCTAGGTATAATAATTCTTTCCCTGGAGGAAAGAAAGAACTGAAAAATATGTCCTGATTTATTATAAAGTAAATGTCGCTTACATTTATGAACGGCTAAGTGCTTGGTTATAGGAATTAGACATGTGAAATTTGGTCTCAATTTTTTATTAAGAAAATTCTGAGCAAACAGAAGTGGAATGTGAGTAGCAGTTTTACAGCTTTCACAAGCTTGGTGCTATTTCTGTCTGTTTAAAATAAAAGACAAATGCCATTGACAGCAGCTGTTGCCTCCTTCAGTGGAGATCACTTGGTGACATTATTGAAAAAGGATGTTTCATTTGTTTCACTTTGTTTAGAAAAGGAAGACCAGTGTCTCATGCCTGAAGCCTGGAATGTCGACCAGGGAGTTATAACCAAACTCAAGGAACAATACAAAAAGGAGCGCAAGGGGAAAAAGGGGGTGAAGAGTAAGTGGAAAACATTGCACCTTAAAATCATAAATCTCACATCTTTCACACCCTTAATTCTATCTCTCTTTCAATGTTTTCCTAAAATTACTTACTCTTTTACTTTGCTGCTCCTGACTGCTTTCCTGTTCACCAGTTCTCAGGGGTTGAAATTAATGACAATCAAGTTACCCTTTAAATAGCTGGATTAGTTATAACTTCTTCCAATCAAGTGTTGGATTAATTAAAAATATTTGCTTTGAGCATGGTTATACTTTTGTTATTCAGCTACTTAAATTCTAAAAGGCATTGCTGTAATAGTTCACACTTTAATATAGAAGAATTCAGAACCCTTTCTTAGCTGGAAACATGCCAGTTTCACAGGAAGAGTTAAAGTCTGGTATATAAATAAATCAACCAGCCAAACTATAAACTGTCTTGAGTATCCTGTTAGATGACAGTGGGAGAAAACAGGTTAATTTCTACCCCTGTTTATATTTAACATTCACAACATGAAAGTCATGCTGTCATCATAATTTGTTATGCAGGGCTCGAAATAGGAAGCAACTATGACCATCAGTTTATTTGTAAATCACAGGATCTATTTGTTGACTTTCATACCTCTGGGACTAGCCTTTAAAAACAGTTGGTTACTGTTACCCAAACAAAAAACCATGAACAGTACCTGAAATACAGTTTCTAGCCCTGTATTACTTTTTGTTACATTTCTTTAAATACAGATCTGTTTTGTAAAATCGATGGTTTTTGATAAGTAAGCCTTAAAACTTTCTGACCTCAGATGGAGTGTTTGAAATGGAACACTGTATTCACAGCTGTGTTTCAAACATCTAGCCATATTGAGAATTCATGTGTGAAAGATGTATATTAATAATATTGCATGTAGCCCAGTAAGAAATTTGAGGGATGTTTCTCCCTTGGTGGGAAGATGCTTATGAATACCAAAGAAATTCTCACTTCCAAAGAGATGTGTAATGATGCCAAAGCGTCAGATCCTCACGTCACTGAGGCTGACTTGGTTGTTACTTTTTGTATTGATACTCTGATAAGCTGCTGCTCAGCAGTTGGTTATGTTGCTGAAATTATGTTATGAAATACACAAACTAAACCTTTTTTTAAAAATATAAAAAACCAAACAAACTATGCTTTAAATTTCTCAAGTGATGTTTTTGTCATCTTTGGAATCATTTAATTTACTAGAAATTAATTGCAAGTCTAATAACAAGCTGAGCTGGCCAGCTAAAGTGTCCAAGTTTCTCAAAATTGGTTCTGAATTTTGTTGCAGTTAAGACAGAGAGGGCATGCCAATATATGACTTAAGTGAAATTGGTTTTTGTAACTTGTCTGTTACTTTAAAAAATATACAGACATGCTATGTAGTTCAGGGGAAATAGCTCTAGTGTTATTTTAGCAGAAATTGTTTGATCAAACTGTTGAAATTCTATTCGTGAACAGCTGTTGAGCCTTTTTAGTTTTTATAATCAAAGTTAATAATTATTAATATAAACATGGATGTTATTGGAACATGTTTTATATCTTTATAAGAAAAAAACTCATGATGTAAAGGCAGCACGTGGACATCCAGTGCTCCTTCATGAAGATAACTACTGCTCAGTACCTTTAGAGTACCTTTTGGATTGATTTGATTGTTTTGATCCTTGGAGATGAAATGGTTTACCTCAGTAGTGAAATTAAGCATCTTTCCATGGTCAAACCATCATTGGAAGGGCATGAATGCAGAAAAATCAGGAGGAATCACAGGCTGTTTTCAGCTATTTGTGATGTTGCACGTAGTGAAGAAGAATGGGAGGAAGGCAGTCTGGAGGAAAAGAAGGGACTAAGTATTTTGGCATTACATTTTGCAAAGTTTGTTTCTATGACTTTAATCTCATCATACATGGTGCTTAGATGCTGAACTGCTGCTAAATAAAATATTGTTTTTATGAAGCAGATATTACAGTAAAACAATCTTGCAAAATCCTTCTTAGTATTTTCCTGCATTGAGTAATATTTTGGTGACAGACAAGTTAAATACAATTTAGTTTATTATCAGTCATTATGACTAGGGTGGACAAAGTAGAGTTTGCAACTGCATTAGTAAACTTACGATTTTGCAAGGCTGTAGTAAACATTCCTGTGAAGTAATAAGAGAATAGAATCATAGAATGGTTTTATGAGAGAATACATATATTAGAGTACACTGCTGTGTTAAAGCTGCTTGAAAATAGCTGTATTATGTACTGGTCTAGGAAAAGACATAATGGACTATGGGTAAGACATTTTCCCATTCTTAATTAAACTTACAACAGGAAAAACTACCGAAGATATGTTTCAGCCTCAATCCTATATAAAACAGTCAAAACAGGGATGTGGGAAAATGATGGAGCAAAGCACAGGTAAGTGTCAAGAAGGGCATGGGTCTTCACCATATGTAGCTTCAGGAAGTAGGGCAGTGAATCCAGTTGCATTTATATCTTAATGTAACTTTTTGGATGATATAGTTCATGATACTACACTGCTGCACAAATAAATTCATAATAATAATGTTGGCATAAGAATATGCTGCACAAAGTACCTGATGCACAAATTCTAAAATAGACACAGATGTCAGCTGTTGTTTTGGAAAAGTAAATATTCTAATAATCAGTATGACTCAGTTGGAGGCATTCCTCAGCATCCCATACAAGTAGCAGTATGAGTTTATACATATGGGGAAAATTCTACGTTCACAATTCTCAGTTGCTTCTATCACTTTCTTTTCAAGAAATTCATTTCATGCTGGATGATTAGTTACTGCTGAAAATAGGTGCTCATTAGTTTTTCTGTGGTAATGTCATAATGCAAGGTAGGATCCATTGTTGCATGTGCTGCTGTAGCATATCGGATATAAGTAGTGTCATCGTAAACTATCCATAAACTATTTAATTTTTTCTTTTTTCTCTGGTTAGGGCCCAACAGGTCAAAGCTGCAAGATATGCTTGCAAACTTGAGAGACGTTGATGATCTCCCTTCATTGCAGCCATCTGTTGCACCTTCTTCTAGGCCCAGTAGCTCAAGGCTCATTGAACATGAGATAAACAGGACGGATGAAGGTAAATATTAAAAGTATGCATACGCCTTCGCAAAGGGTCGATGTTTATAGTTACCTCTTAAAGATTATCCTCTAAGACTTTCCAAGCACTTTACAAATCCTGATTCAGCATTGCAAGTTCTGTCTAAGTGCAATAAATGGTATTCCTGTTCCTCCACTCTGGTCACTATTAGTAAGGTCGAGATACCTACCTAAGGTAAAGTCTTGGCTGAATACCTTTGAGCATGATGGGGAAAAAAATTTGGCACTTGGTGACTTAGTAATATGGTGATCTTAAGTCACTTGCTTTTGTTTGTGCTCAGGCCTGGCAGCCAAGTGTGGAACATAAATTCCGAGGACATAAGAGCATATTTGTTTCTCCCAATTAACATTATTTTATGTATATGTATATATATACATATACACCCCCTCAATGTCTCCCTATTTTTAAGCGCAAAGGAAAAGGCTCTACAGGTAAACACAAGTGGCTAGTTATAGCTTTTAAATGCCTGTGGTGATCGTGTAGTGAGTCATTCAGAACAACTTACAGCTTGCCAGTATATTAATTTCCATACTATGCTCCAAACATTTAAAAAATTCTCATAGTGGCTAGTCCAAATATGGAAGGGCACACATCTTTGCAATGGAGCATGTGCTTTCCTTCACTAGTGTTATGTCTGAAAAATGCTAAATCATCTATTTGATTCAATATTTGAATTGCTATAATATGCAGCATAGTAACATATAGCATAAGAGGCTATATAAGTTTGATCATGTAGCAGCCTTCCAGTACCTACAAGAGACTTTTTACATGAGCATGTACTGCTAGGACAAGGGGAATGGCTTTAAACTGAAAGAGGACAGGTTTAGATTAGATATTAGGAAGAGATTCTTTACAGTGAGGGTGGTGACGCTCTGGAACAGGTTGCCCAGAGAAGCTGTGGATGCTTTCACTGCCAGGCTGGATGAGGCTTTGAGAACATGATCTAGTGGAAGGTGTCCCTGCTCATGCCAGGTCCCTTCCAGCCCAAGCCATTCTATGATTCTGTAATATCATGTGCTCTATTTAAGTGGTAAATATATGTTTTGAAAAATGAGCAAAACACAAGTTCCACTTAGCAGTCTTTCAGTGAGGGTGAAAAAGTAGGTCGGCCAAGTTATAATTAAGATGCATAAAAAGCCCCAGCGTGTGACATAGTTACCAAAGATCTCAGTAGTTCTGTTTCCTTCATGCTCAGTGATTTTCTTTATGAAAGAAGAGGGTAACTTAGCAACGCTTTGAGAAGCGGAGGAATTTTTTGTTGAATGTTTCCAACTTTTCTCACATGTACTGAGAGACATATTAGTAGCGCTCTATTTTCATGTCCTTTCAATAATGTTTTTTAATTCAGAGACTCAGATGGACAAACAAGGAAGAGGACAGGTGTTTGTTGCCAGTCTGAGTTCAATATTACAAACTATTAGCTGTGTGTTCCTTTATAAAGCTGAGACACCATGGTATTTTGGGCAGACAATTTTTTTTTATTCTAGTAACTTTTCAAATTTGGTATCCTGTATGTATTGTGTGTTGAGTATTACATTGTATGTTCATTGTATGTTCAAAAGTGAGAAAAAAAGATTGGTAGTGTAGACTTCAGAGTGAAGAAGGTAAGAGATGTTTGTGATTAAAAGGTAATAACTAAGAGACCTAATCAAATGGCAGATCATAAAGGGCTTTATTTGGTTTTAAAATGTTATGGAAAGCAAACAGAACACTCAGTAGAAATGTTTGTGTGGAATGGAAAGATTAGCTTTCTTTATGCTGGGTGAACTGGAGGGGAATTGGGCAGCATCTGAAACTGATGCCTTTGGGACAAGAGGGAAGCAGACTGAACAGATCAAGTTTTTCGTTGTGAACCGTAGTTTGCTTGCATTTAACTTAGTATTGGTGCTGTTAGACTTAATCAGATGCTGAGAATGAGATGGCATTTCCTTTTCTCACTCCCTGATTGCACCAGGATTTGCCAAGGCTTGTCCTTACAATGGAGCTAAAAGGGGAAAAATTGTAATTTACTGTGAAACTCTTGTAATTTGAGACAGAAGGTATATAAAAATGAGTGAAGCTTCTTGTGTTCAGAAGATAGTGTGTTTTCATCTGTTCAACCCCCCTTTAGTGCTGTGCAGACTGGGACAGCTAATGTAAAGTTGGTAAAGGCACAGCTTTTGAGTTGTACCACTTGATGCAGAGCCTTATGTGGTGTGTGTGTGCTGTACTTCTTAGCCTTTGATCCTTTCATTTCTAGTGAATCAGCCTATAGATGCATTCAAGTTACAATGATGGGAGCTCCTATAGGCATGCTATAACATGTGTGAAACAGTGCATTTGGGTACTGGAGAGCATGTAAACAGCTTCACTGCTGACATGCTTTTGAGTGTGGGTATCTGTGTGTATATGGTGCTAGGAAGAAAGAGTCCAACTGCTCCCACCAGCTATTCTTATCTACATTTTTGTTGTTTCTTCAGCACCTATTTACATATTTTGTAGCAGAGTTGAGGAAGGGCCTGAGCTTTTCTGTGTTACTTCTGCATTATATATGAGTGAATGGTAGTGTACTCTTCCCATCTGCAGCTAATTGCACTTGACTGTCTTGGGTCATGCACATCTCAAGTATAAGTATGTTTGGAAGATGCTGCTTATTGGTGAGTACAGTGATTATCTCTAGAACAGTTATTTCTTTTGTGCATCTCTGTATATCTTTTTGCCCTTGGCTACTTGAGAGGTGGTTAGCACTCTGAAAGTAGAAAATGTGCTTTTACCATTCGATGTTGTATCAAGCCATGTTTCAGGATTTTTTTGTCCTTTGTTTTGTTTTCTTGCAGTGGAAGCTTTAACGTTTCCTCCTTCTTCAGGGAAGTCTTTCATTATGGGAACAGATGAAGCCCTTGAAAATGAGCTGGGTCTTGGAGAACTGGCAGGCCTTACTGTAGCAAATGAGGCAGATTCGCTGACTTACGATGTAAGTGGTTATTAATGGTAACTCAAGGTCCTACTGTCTTCTTGTTGAAGGCATATGCAAGTTATATGCATGAAGACTCAGCAGAAAACATTCTCCAGTTAAGATTATGCTGCCAGAGATGTCACAAATTTTTATGTGACAAATCTGTTCTTCCCATGCACAGCAGCCTTCAAGCCCCTTTCCTTCTCTCATTTGCCTGCCATGTCATGCAAGTAGTTGTAAGTAAATGTAATTGGTGATAGTGATACAGCTGGATGTGTGTAACTCCAGCGACTCTGAGCAAAATTGGAAGTAGCACAGACAGCAGATTGAGGGAAGTTTATGTCCCTTCCACATGGGCTGTATGCAGTTTTGGGCCCCTCCACTTCAAGAGGGTGTAGAGAAGTTGAAGAGAGTCCAGTATCATGTGATGGGTGAGCAGATGTTAAGGGAGCTAGTCTTGTTCAGCTGTTAGGAGGCCGAGGGGTGTTTGAATAGCAGCCTGCAGGTATTAGAATGGTGCTTATGAGGATGATAGAGCCAAACTTCTCCATAGTTCCAGGCACTAAAACAAGAGGAAACAATAGCAAATTATGACTTGGGAGATTCAGGTAAGACACTGGGGGAGAAAGTGTTATGTAGGGGGTGGTACTGAAACAACTTGCCCAGAGAAATGGTAGAATCCCTCTCATGGGAGATGTTCAAGACTTGCCTGGGGGTTTAGGTTACCTGGTGTGGGCAATAGTCTCATTTCAAATGGGAAGCTGGACCAGAGACTTTGAGGAGGTTTTTGTGGCCAGCACTTCTGTAGCTATGTGTGTAGCCAATGGCTTATTTTTCTGTCAGTTTGTCAAACATTTCTTAAATCTTGCTTCTTTTCAATCATGTCAAATTTTTGTCTGTATTTCTGTTTTCTTGGGAAAAATACTTAATGTATTACTTTCATAATTTGCTCTTTTATGATCAGTCAGCTTTAGATTAATCTTGCTGTTGCATTGCCCAGCTCTGTCAAGGCTGAGGTATTTCAGAGATCATTTTTAGTATTGTGGGTTGGGGAAGAATCCTACTCTGCAGTAAATCTGACTCTTAAGTAATCACCATCTGGGATTTACTATCACAAATCAAGTCACAAATAACCTGCAGGTCCTTACTTTGAAGTTCTACTCTTGTATGTACTTGTGAAGCAATAAATTGCATAGTTTAATAAAAGTTTACACACATTTTGAGAGTGCCACTGCAGAGATGTCTTCTACTACTATAGCAAGTTTCTGAGCATGTGATATGTTGTGAATCATCACGATTGCCATGATACAGAACATTTATGCTAAAATTCAGTATTTTAGCATTATATCCTACTTTGGGCTTGTTTCTTGATTTTTTTGCTAATTTTCCCTAACTTCATCTTCAGAAAAGGGGTAAGATGGTGTACAAATTAATTTCTTTTACAGGTACACCTAAAACTTAGGTGCTGAATTTTTAAGTTCAGAGGACATGACAAACTTGAACCACCTGTGTGAGATACTGATGTTTTCATTGCTTGACTTAGTTGCTCAAAGGCTCATATAAACTGTTGTGTTTGTTCATGTCTCTATATCCTGAACTAACAGCTTTCATTTATGGAATCTAGCATTTCTTTATCCACTCTTTTCCTATCCTGCATGATTGAGAATACTAGCTTCTGTTTGTTCACTTGTTAAATGCCTTTATGAAGTCCTGTGATCAGGAATTCATAGTCATGCTTACCTCGACTCTTACCTTTTTCTAGTGCTGACAAAATAAAACATGTACAAAGCTACTCACTCTTGCCACTGTGCACTTCATTGAAGCAAAATGAACGGCTGTTTTTTCTGTTTCAAGTTTCACTGGAAGTTTAGCTTACAAATAATATAATGTTTCTATTTTGGACTATTTAGTAACTTCTTCTGGCTGCCACATGTGAATCAGGTAGGATTAGTGAAAAATGTAGTATGTTATTTATGTCAATTTTGAATCATATGGAGAATTAGGTTGAAAGGTCATCTGAATTGGTATTTAAATAATTCGCTCTGAAGAGTTGCAGACACTTTCCCATTTTCAGTCCCTTTTATCCCACTGACATTTTTACTGGATTCTTTTTTTCTAAAACATGGCAGCATTAGCCTTCCTTATTTCATTGTTACAGTTTTTTACATATTGCTTTGTCTGTCTGTACATTAAAAAATGGCTTTCAGTTGGTAATGGAGATTATTAATTATTTACTTAAGTAAGAAATTATTTCTTTTATGGGTAGGTTTTTAGAATATCTAACAAGATGAAATTTTCCACTCTTCTAGCCAGTACTCTCAAGTTTATCTTTTCCTTTTCCTTCCTTTACACATTGTTGTCTTAACAAATGTTCACTTTGGTTGGTTCTGGTTTTCCCTTGGACTTCTGGATAGATTAATCAGCTTCATAAAATTATAATAGTCTGAGTACTGTACATAAGAGTATCTGAACTACAAAATCATTACAGTTAATGTTACGTACTGATTTGGCGGTTTTGGATGTCGCAGGAGGCTCTTGCTTGATTTCCTACAACTTTGAACAAGAGAACTGTCTGTAAGCCTGCTTGCTTCTCATTGCTTTTTCAGGCGTTTTCAATCTGTCTGTATAGACACAAGTACTGTTATTAGTGGCAAATTCAGATCAGATGCTAATTTTGGGGCTGAGCATCCTCCTCCTGCCACTTTTTTTCAAGTCTCAGGTTACCTCACCGTTGCATTTTAGTGGGGGAAGGTAGAAGAAGGTTGGTTGTTGTGCTAGTAACTCAGCCTCTTGCAGCTTGTGAGAGACTGGAGTGACGTGGTGCAGCCAAGCACGTAGCGCATCAGGGGTAGGATCTGTTTCCACCTCAGTTGCTGGTCTACTGGCTGGGACTGCCCTTCATCTACTTCCCTCCATCTACTTCTCAATTTATAAACTAATCATCTTGGGCTCCTTTGGAAGAATGCTTTTGAATGAATGAGAAGCAAATGGAGAATATTACCCTGCCAGAACCAGAATGCACTGTTAGGCTGTCTGAGGTGTTTTTGTGGCTTTTGCAGATATGACACAGGACCTGTGCTGCTGGTATGGCAGCTGGAGGGCAGGCAGGTTCCCTCCATCACTTACTTGGGATTAAGTGCCAGGCACCTAATTAGATCAAGGCAACCAAATTCCTCACCAGATATCTGTGAATACTCTGTACATCTTGTACCCTTTTTGCTGAGACTTTCTTGGCCAATCTCCAGGAAACCTGCCAGAGCTGCTAACTGTGCAGTCCTACCCCATCCTTGCACCAGCTCGAGCATTTGTCTGTTCCCTCAGTGAGCCAACTTGGCTCAATAAACTGGCAAGGAAACCAACTTGTCTCCCTGAGCAAGGCAGTACATAATTACTAAGAAATATGATGCGACGAAACCTGCTGTTTGTTACTCCTTACTCATTGTTTTTAAACCTATAGAAGCTCTTAATTGATGCATATTTTTATTATTAAATCCAAATGTAATAAAACTTAAGAAAAAGCACTTTTGTTCTTAGACTTCCTCTTCCTCCCCCCACTCTCCAGAATAAAAGGTAGATTCTTGAAGTGGCTCAAAACAGTTGTCTCTTCTTTGCAGTTAAAGATACAAATTATTTGTGATTATCTGTAGTTGTCAACATAGTAAACCATCAGTACAATTGTTTGTTTTCTTGGTTTTCCATAACCACCATCAGCAGGGGTTATGATAAGGTAAATTTAACTTACGGCATTGTTGACTGGCAGAGTGATAAAAGCCTGTTCAGCATTTTGTGTCAACATTTGTTCAGATGAGCAATACTGAAGTTACTGTTACTTTTTTTAAAAGCTTTCTTTTTGGATCTTCTAAAATGCATTTATTGCCAAGTAATTGTGTCTGTGTCCATGATAGCTTATTGCTTGACAGTTATATTCTTAGTGTGTAGCCAAGTCCTTTTTGCCTTTTTTTTCTGGCAAGGTTTACTTGTCTTCCATTATTACAGAGCTTGTGTTGCCTTAGATGAATGTTAGGTTATGTTCCATTCTGTGCTTCTAGAGACTTCTCTGTTTCTCTTAGATCATTATATTCAAAGACTGCAGCTTAACTGTTAGAAGTGAATGAGCCAGTAGGTATAGATGAAATTTCAAATACCTCACTGAGTTCGTAGAAGTATCAGTGCTTTTAAATTGTGTAATTTTACAGACATGGGAGTATTTCAGATTTGCACAGAATGTATCATTGTGGATGTGTCATCACTTGTTGTATGGAATACATCTACATTTGTTCTCATTTTGAATTGCCTGGTTAATGTTAAATGGGCTGTTGTTGAAGAGCAGGTTGTTACAAAAAGTGGGTGAGGTAATTTGACATCTTCTGGAAATGCCAAACTAAATTTCTGATTTCTTCCTTTCCTCATGCCTTCCAGATTAATTACAAGTTTGGCATTTTTTTTTATTAGATAGCCAACAATAAGGATGCATTGAGAAAGACTTGGAATCCCAAATTCACATTAAGAAGTCACTTTGATGGAATAAGAGGTCTCGCTTTTCATCCGGTTGAACCAGTCTTAATAACAGCTTCAGAGGACCATACATTAAAAATGTGGAATTTACAAAAAACAGCCCCAGCAAAAAAGTAAGATTTTTTTTTTTGCTTTGCTTCAAAAAGAATTTTCATTTATGAAAAAAACAAAATAATTGTAGATACTGCTTCACTGGATGGCCCTTGGAGTTAATGGAAGGTGTTCCCTGAATTTAAGAGTCGGAAAACAAGCTCTTAGAGAAGGGTAGAGACTTCTAAAGACTGTCAGAAGAAATCCATGTGTGTTTGTGAATGTTTTGTTTGTGAAAAGGAAAGCCATTCACTTTTTTTTTAATATTTTCCTTATAGATAACATGACCAATTAATGTACTGGTGAAAATATTTGGATGCAGCCTGTTGGTGTGCTTGCATGTGTATAGAAATGCATAACATGCATTCATATATATGCACATATGTATCTATACACATATATGCATGTACATGTGTACGGCTTTACACTGGGAGATGTTGCCAGGTTCCTTTGTACCCTGTCTCTTGCATGTTGCTGGGGATTTGCAGAAAGGAGGGCACATTTGTAGTAGAGCTAATACAGCAAGGGAGTATGTCACACCTTTGAGGAGGACTGGGCATAACAGCATCTTCCTCAATCTGTAACAAGTACCAGATTAATAAAGTCCAGAGCAGCAATTTTGAAGTGGTTTGTAAATGGTGGTTCAAAATCACTTGTAGTGAGACACTGGCACAGGTTGCCCAGGGAGATAGTGGATGCCCCAACCCTGGCAGTGTTCAAAGCCAGGTTGGATGAAGTCTTGAGCAACCTGATCTCATGAGGAGGTGTCCCTGCCCATTGCAGGGGCTTGGGTCTAGATGATCTGTAAGGTCCATTCCAACCCCTAAAATTCTATGATATGATTCTGTGTAACTGTTGATATAAAAACAAGGGATCCTAAACACCTTTGCTCGGATAGTGATTTGAAACACTTCATGATATATTCCACGTGATACTGATGTCTCTCCACTCCTTCCCTCACCTTTGATGTACTTAGCTACTGGTTTGATTGGTCTATGAGAGTTTGTGAAATACCTTGAAGGTCCTATTATACTTTGAAAGCCTACAAATGGTTCGTAGACATGTGAAAAATCACTTTGGGAGAGGAAGTTGTGGGAGAAACACTGCAAAAGATGTAGCAGTGATTTTAAGAATTTAGCATTTCGGGCACATTTTTTTTAAAGCATTGTGTAAGATCATATACATCATATTAACATTTTTTTGTACTTAATTTAGGAGTGCTTCTCTTGATGTAGAGCCAATATATACCTTCAGAGCACATAAGTAAGTATTTCTTGAGAAATATGGTCATATTTTGAGAAAAATAATGTTTTTAAACTGAAACAGTTTTCTTTAAAAATAATTTCCACCTTGTCAGTTACTGATTTCATGTGATACTTTTAGTTCCCATGTTATTTAAAATATCTGCATATGTTCATCTTCTGCATAATTATTTATGTCTGAAGCTAAGGTATATCACAGGTCTAAAAACAAAAACCTGCAAATTGCACAGTTTAAATTTGATTAGGTGTTCTGTTCATCATTGCAGCTCTTGCCTTTTTGTCAGGTATGTGCATATGTAGAATGAAGCTGAGGAAGAATTAATGCAGTGAATTTAAATCTACTGATAAGATTTCATGAAACAGCCTCAGATCTTTCAAAAACAGAAAAGCAGCTGTTTATGCAAAATAAAACACCCTACAGTTTCAAAGTGTGGCACTTTTCACATTGCATGTGCATAATGACTAAATTGTCCTGATTGTAGTTATGTTACCAAATATTCTGGAGGGTTTTTTTGTGGGAAGTGGTGTGTAGCATATGATCTCACTATGCAGAATTTTTGTTGCCATCCATGCAGCAAGGGAGTTGTAGCTAACAGGGAAATATGAAAATGCTGTTGACACTGCATTTCACATCATGAAAATATTAATAGTGAATATTTTTTTGGGGGGGTTCCTCCAGTGGGCCAGTGCTCTGTGTGGTGATGAGCAGCAATGGTGAACAGTGTTACAGTGGGGGAACTGATGGCCTCATCCATGGCTGGAGCACAACCAACCCCAACATCGACCCCTATGACTCTTACGGTACGTTGTTGTCACACACAGCAGTGAAGTAGTACGTTTGGTGACATTAATGTTATGTCGCTAAAACAGTATAATTTGTAGATAATACTTTGAAAACTTAAAAGAGAAAATTGAATCTTGCTTTCAGCTGCTTAAATTTTTGTGTTAATGCTGATGCTGATTGATGGGAAAATAAAATGTCAGTTTCTTAAAACAGGCCTTGATCTCATCACAGTTTTGAGAAACAGCGAGGTTTAAAAAGTACAGGGATAAAGCTGATAATTTGGCAAGTACAGCAAATTGTATTTAAATGTTATTTTCTTTGACAGATTTCTGTTGAGTTGAGATAAAAAGAGGTTATATAGTCTGAGACCAAAGCTGTTAATGTTGTCTTCAAACAGCTAAAAAGGCCCAGTTGAGTAAGATTTACCAGATCTGAATGGATGTCAGCCTTGTGTCTGGATTTTAAAGTTTATTTTCCACTTCTGGCAGCTTCAGATGCAGCTGGCCACAAAGCTTTTTGGAAAAAAAGGGGCTGATGTGTGGCTGTTTGAAAATGAATTTTAACACTGAAATGTTTTGCCGACTTCTGTAATGTCCTTTCTGCTGAAACACTGTTTTGTTCCTTTAGCTGTAAACTGGGTAACCTAATGTCATGTATGCTGATGAAATCAAGCATCTTAATACTACATCATTTGAGACTTTTATATTGATATGATGTGATTAATCTTGGCTTTTCTTTATGGATTAGCTTCTTAAGTTTGGGGCATGAACACAGACCAAGATACAGCTGTTGACTTAATTCAGATTTAGTTTTGAAATGTGATTTGTTGTGTTTTGTTCACAGATCCTTCTGTTCTAAGAGGTGCTTTTGTAGGCCATACTGATGCAGTGTGGGGTCTGGTTTACAGTGGGGCACACCAACGTTTGCTGTCCTGTTCGGCAGACGGCACCATACGTTTGTGGAAAGCTACAGAAATTGCTCCAGCTCTCAATATATTTAATGATAATCAAGGTACAGAACATTGCCCTAACTTAAAGTTCAGACTGACATAATTTTGACTACTGAATAGAAATCCTTCTTGCTTTTTTCCTGGATTTTGTATCTTTATGAATGTTTTAGGGACCTTACTTTGACATTAGCTGAGTATATACCTACATACAGGGGGACATACATCTAAAAGCCAACTACTGCAGATGATCTGCTGGTGTCAGTAGCACCATGGAGTATAACATATCAACTTCATAATTCAGAATTACACCGAGTTTCCATTAGGTTTTTGCTTTTGTTTTGTCCAGAAAACTCCAACGGAAGTTTGGAGTAGTCAGTGCTTCATCTAAGACTAGTGTCATTGTACTTTCCAAATTATGTTCCTTATTGCTCTAACACAGAAATTCCAGTTGAACTTCTGAGTTTGCACATTAACTAAATAGCAATAACCTAGTGATCCTAAACACTGCTAGCTGGAGAAATGAACTACTTTGTATTTAGTTACTGAAATTAAAATCCCACTGTTTAGAGCCTAATTTCCTGAAGTTGCTGTGTAAGTGCTCCAGAATGAGCCAATGGACATTGCCAAACTCTCTTTAGATCTGATGGTCCTAAAGACAGCACACTGAGACAGTTCCTTGGCTCTTCAGAAGAACTTTGAGGCAAAGCAAACTTTGGCGTAACTGAACAGACTTAAATTGAAATATGGTGTAAAGCTGGTCAGATATGCCATTGCTTGTTAGTTAAAACAGACTGAGCTAAATGCATTTCATGTACTTTAGTTCTTGCAGAACTATGTTTCCAAAGGTCTTGGAGGATTCTATGAAATATGTAGCTGGCTTCTTGCCAGCTTGCCTATCTGCCTACCTTGAAAACTTCCTGGTAGAGTTGTGGGGGTTTTATGAATTGTTTTGGTTTTAATTATTAAATTCAGGGCAAAGAGGGAGTAGTCTTGCCTCACAGAGCTAATACTAGGGCTTTTTATATTCTAAATTGGAATGAAACCCAGTTGTGAGATCCAAAGATGCTCCTTCAGTTTTTCTATGACTTATTGACAACCTTGGACAAACTCTCTAAATTATCTGGCAGTCATCGTTTAAGTCTTTTAGATTAACCATTGTAGACTTACCAGGAAGCTGCAGATAAACATTCATGGCAGTATTAGAAAAGATCACTTCAGAAACAATGTGTTTTCTTCTCACACCAATCCTTTTTAGCTTGTTTTGGAGTACCTGTAACTAAGTACCATTATTTCTGTGGTCCTGTGTCCAAGAAAGATGTTTCTCCCATGAATCTTTAGAGATGTGATGATATTCCTGCATTATCTGAATATTACATAGCAGGTGGTGAACAGGACATTTGAGGAGAAAAACTCAGCTTTGCTGATTTGGCCCTCTGCCCTGTAGTGTTCAGATAGCTACAGTGTGAAGAGATCAGGTATATCCACAATAGGCAGGAAGGGCAAAGCTTTGAAATACAAGTTTATGATATATTGATAGAACTTTCTGTGATGATAGTGTCATTATATAAAATTTGCACCTGGAGAACTTTGGTGTTGTTTTAAGCTCTGATTTTGCTGAAGTTAATAATAATAATGTTAATAATAACAATGTTAATTGTCTGTCATGTCAATGACTGCTTCAGTTTCATGTCTTTTTACTTGATGCAATGGAGTGGGGTTTTTTTCGAGACTTGCTCTTAAAGGAAGGAAAAATGGTCAGGGAGCTCTGAATTTCAAAGTAGATTTCTGTCCAGCTGGAGTTCCAGATACAACATCTTAGTAAAGAATGTTGATATACATGTTAAAAAAATGAGACTAAAATAGTGATCATATAGGGCAATCCATTTAGACTGGCATAATGTATACTTTAAAATGCAACATTTCCTTTCAGAATAGTGGTCCTTTGGATGTTAAAGTGCTTACTGGTTGAGTTTTTTGGTTTGGTTTTAATTTTTTTGTGTTCTTCACACCAACTAAGTCTTGTTTGCACTGCTTTCTAGAAATGGGAATCCCTTCATCAGTAGATCTTGTGAGCAGTGACCCAAGCCTCATGGTAGCATCATTTAACAGTGGGCACACTAGCATTTTTAACATGGAGACACGGCAGCGAATTCTTACCCTGGAGTCCAGTGTGGATACTGGTATGTATCAAACTAAAAAAAGTCCATCAAAGAGAAAAAATGACTTGTTTAAGATTGATACTGTTGATAATCTTTTTAGTGTTTCCAAACAACAGGCAGTGTCATGGTAAATTAGAACATGAATTACGTTACAAGCCGTGTTTTGAGATGTAGCAGTAAATTATTGCTACTACAACAGACCTCATGGGTATTCCAGGAGCAGAAGAGTGCACGTACTTTTGAAAAAAGGTAGAACAAACAAGCTCACACTGTCTGAATTCCTCTTCAAGGGACAGTAGCACAGGTAAAAATACAGGTTTCTTTAAGACAGCTCAGTGATCTTTGCAGCTTCAAGATTTCCGTTTTCTTTTCAGTCCAAAATTGCAAAACAGAGGCAATATTAGTAAAATTTAAAATGGAGTTTATTAAAAATTTGGACGTGTGTGTGGATACAGTTTTTTTCCTCAGAGGTATCCCTTTTTGAAGCTGTATTGCACTCTTTGCTCATTTGGACTTGGGCTTTAGTTGAAGTGTTGACTGTAGGAGAAATACAAAGCTCCAGTGGAAGAGAATTCATTCACAAGGTCCCATATAAAGCATGGGATTATGGCAGTGACTGATATTAGAAGTTATAGAGGGTACTGTGAGGAGCCTGTTATCAGTAAATTATTTTATCCTGGCACTGGAAAGGAGACAAGAATGAGCTGAAGCATAAGGTTTCATATTCAGGCCACAATGGTAACCTGATAACAATATAAACATTGAGTTTTGTAAAATTTTGATATAACCTCCTCTCCTCCTTAAAAATTTATGTCGCTGAATTCCACTGTTTAAATATATTTTTTAAAGCAATAAACCCTTCTTGTTAGCTTTGCTTGTCTATTTTAAAATAGTTAAATGACTGTCATTTTTATAAGAGGGAATGGCAAGTGCCATCACCCTTTGTTATTCCTTACTGTGCAGGATTTCTCTTTTCAACCCACATCTTTGTTCCTGCCTGAAAAAAAAACAGTCCTAAATTAGTTAGCTCTATTCACTGGAAGCTACCTTTCTTCTTTCCACCCCCCCACTTCTATTTTTCCACATCCTCCTCACTGTAATTCAGTAATATTCCTTTAAGAAATCGAGAGCGTGGTATGGCAACCAGCAGTCCCCGTTTAGTATCTTTAGTTATGTAACGGTACTATAGAGCTTACATGTATTTTCAAAAAAGAAATGATTATTTCTACAAGAACTAGGCAAGAGGAAAATGAGTCACCTGAAATGCCCTACCACCACTACTCAGGGACTCCCCTGTTCAGTATCAACCTGGCTCTGCTTGGCATTTTAAAGCTGCGAGGGTAGCTGGCTGTGTGATGGAGGCTCATGTGCTTCTAGTAATTTTAGGGGAGTTTATTCATGTGAATGTGTTACTTTCCTTAATATACACTTTTATAATTTCTGAGTGTCCTGTGGATGCTGACACTGCTTGATGGTTCACATTTTGATACAAAGATGTCAGGTGAAATCTTTACCATTTTAATAGCAAGTGATCCTCTAGTAGTATTGTTTATTTTAGTAGTAATTTTGATTAAATGATGTGAGTGTTCTTTGGAATCAGTTTAACTAAATGCAGTCAACATGAAAGCTGATATCTGTGTTTTGATGTTCTGTGGAGTGACTATTAGTGGTTTTGTCATAATCTGCACTTCTTTAGACCACTAATTTGTGCATCACAGCAATGCCTAGATTTCTGATCAGAAAACTCCTATACTTTTTTGTGTGTGTGTGTGTGTATGTGTGTGTGTATATATATATCTATATGCATGCATGCTATTTCAGAATTCTAGAAGGCTAGGAAAGTGGCTCTCCTATGAATAGTCTTAGCATCCTTTTCTTCAATAATAATTTTAATCCATATATAAAATAATAATACTACTAATAATAGGTGTGTTTTGTTTGCTTGAAGCATGCTGCCTACAGTGGTAATTTTCCTGTACTCCTTGTATGTTATGAAGAAAGTTTGACTTGGCAAGAGGAGGAATGTAGCAGTGGGGAAATGACAGAGAGAGTGTTTTCACTCAGTTTTTGGTTTCACATTTTTGCCTGATGCCCCTATCTAAAACCATGTCCAAAAGCTGGACCTTACTTGGCATGCATATGGTTTATGTATGCCTCTGTGCCTGTGTAATTTGCGAAGTATTTTAGAGTAAGACACATAACATAAGGCTTTACCTGAGAGTTTCCAATGTGTATATATAAGTAAGAATTATCTTGCAAATAAGATTGATTACATATTTATTCCTTAGTGTCGATCTTTCAAAGAACTTATCAATTTACGTGTATTGATGTGTGTGGGTTTTTTTTCTTAGCAGTCAGTTCCTCCTGTCAGATAAACAGAGTCATCAGCCATCCAACTCTTCCAATTAGTATCACTGCTCATGAAGACAGGCACATCAAATTCTATGACAACAATACAGGTATGCATCTTTTTAGCAGGTCTTAGCCATAGTGGTTGTGTAACATAAATCATAACCAGAAGTTCATTATGATTAATATTACTCACATAAATGCTGAGGAATGTTAAGAATTTCTGGAAACAGAAATCTCTCATCACCAGTAGAGCCCAAAGATTGCCAGCCCACTTAAAACTTTGTTGGCACAATGATAAGGAACCTGCATCATTCTCTGTCCATTCTTTTAAAATACCCTATGTGTGGAGTTTATAAATACTTAACATAAAAGAAAGTTTTTTCCAAATCTTTGTGCTTATGTTTATGTTTGTTCTATTGGCTGTCCATATTATTTTGATATTGAGAACAGGAAGCTCTGCCACTTCTTTAGTGCTTCCTAGACCTCTGCCACATTTGACCCATGAATTCTTATTTTTAATATTAAATCATTGCTGTAATTACAATAAGCTGTAATGGAACATTAATCTCTCTGAGTTGACTAAAATTATCCCATATTCTTATGTAGCTTGTATTCTTTGCTTTTAGTATATTCAGTCCCTGACTTTTTCCCATTCGAGACATTACTTAAGAATTCACTTAATTCACCTAAGGGGTAGGTATTTAAAATGCACAGTGATTGCAGTGTCAGTGTGGCTTTGCAGGCATAAAGTTGTCACCTTGTTGATGATACTGCTGCTGTGGGTCTCTGGAGACTGTAAAGTCATGGGACAAAGTCTTCTATTTATAATATCAGATGGTAAGGTCACAAACAGTGAATACAGATAAAAAAGTGAATTGCAGAAAATAACCTAAATAAATCTTTTCTTTCAAAGGAAAACTGATCCACTCCATGGTAGCTCACTTAGATGCAGTTACAAGTTTAGCTGTTGATCCTAATGGCTTGTACTTGATGTCTGGCAGTAAGTACATTCAGATTTCATTTTCTTATTCTCATAATGGTAGCAGGCATGACAATCATAAAGTAAACTGTACTTCTTTTTTTTTAGGTCATGACTGCTCAATTCGCTTGTGGAATCTTGAAAGCAAGACCTGCATCCAAGAATTTACTGCTCATCGCAAAAAGTTTGATGAGTCCATTCATGATGTGGCATTCCACCCCTCCAAATGTTATATTGCCAGTGCAGGAGCAGATGCCCTTGCGAAAGTGTTTGTATGACAGAGTGCTTCCCATTCAACTTTAGCTTTGTATATATTTAACCAGCTGCACAAAAGAGAAGAGGAGGGCATGAGGCATCTTATCTTGCCCTGTAATTCAGAGAATGTTTGTAAGTGTTTAGTTTTGCAGGGTGCTGTTTTCTAAATTGACGTTTGTTCTGGTTTCTGTGAGCTCAGCTGGTGCTGAGAGCTTGGAATCTCTCAGTTTCACATAGTTTTAAAAAAAAAAAAAAGAAATAAAAAAAAAGAAATGCTTTTATTTTAGAGGGTGTGAATTTTCGTCCAGGCAGGCCTTGGGTGAAACTAGGTCTACAAATTCTCTATTAATAAAATGGAGTACTGGAAAGAAGGGGTCTAATTGCATCAGGGAGTAGGAAATGAGGGAAACTTCCTAGGATGCTTCTCATTGAGGAATCTTAATATACTCAAAGTTAAATCACCTGGAAAAGTTATTCAAAGTCAGTTCACATGCTCATTGCTGTATCATGTGAGAGGCACTTTGTCATCCCTTTGGTATGAAGAAAGTAGATCTTATTCAGAGAGCAGTAGCAGATAGTTTATCTCAGCCACCTGGCTGCTAGCCTAAGATAAATGCAATTAAAGGAAAGCAAATTACTAACATAAATTAAAATGCAGTAAAGTTTCTGTTACATCATCTGTGTTATACAGTAAATATTTAGTTTGCAAAAAATTGTATATGATTTTTCAAAGACTGTGTTAGCTGAACCTTTACTGTAGTCCCAATTAACAACAGACTGAAGCAGTCTATATATACTGTAGTAGCAGATTTAACTTATTCAGATTTTAATGCTGTTTATTCTTGGAGATCTGGCACAAGAAATTATCACAAAGCTTTCCAAAGAAGCTGTCCTGCAATTTAGCTATCAACAAACATTCATCTCCTTTTTCTATTCATGCTAAAAAGGGTATCATTCTGGGCATTAAGGATAACAGTGAAATAATTCATTCGAAGATTTAAACCTATACCTGATACTTTGTATGAGTCCTGCCAGTGGAATAGGTGGGAACTAAACAAAGCTCCATCAGTTTGAGGGATTCTGCTACTCCTAGAGGTATCTCCCAGCTTCACTATTTGTGTGATGTTTTAACTTGTCTGCATCACTGGGGTATTGTGCCATTGGTTAGGCTACCTGAAGAATGTGTGCTTCTTGTAGTGACTCAACAGATGTGCTTTGTTCATCTATTCAGAGCTTCTCTGTTTATTTGAATGGCAAATCACTTTTAATCCAATCTTTAAGTCTTTCTATCCCTTCTTAAAGGAAGGTGAGAGGATTCTTTTCTGTTATGTGTCATCAGAATTATTATGGCTCATAAGCATGAAGTTGGTGTTTTCCTCTAATGGGAATGGAAAGCAGAATTTCTGCTGGACATGATTTCTGTTGCTGATGTGAATAGGAAAGAGCCCAATGCAACTCTTCATATACCAGCCTGAGGATAAGACTGGAAACTGATAAGTAAATCTTTACCTTTAAACTGACACTTTGTAAACAGGGGTCAATATATCAACATAGGGTTTGACTGTGTTGTTCCTGGAATGGCATTTGGGGATGGGACCACATTTGAAGCTGATCTCAGAGTTTAAATCAAGTATATTATTTAGAATAAAAGATTGACCTGTGCTGTTTGAGCCTGCAATGCATTATATGTACTGCTAAAATATCCTGGAATACCTTCTATTGCTCAGAATATTCAGATGTGTCACTTCATGATATTGATATGCAATATATTTCCATAGGTAAGATTAGAACTTTTACCATGAAACAGATGACTATGATAATAATACAGATTATTTAGTTTTTATAAAATGTTTTGGTTGTGATGGAAAGGAGAAACTTGGCTGCAAAACTGAGCATTCAACTTTGTGAGAGTTCTGTGTACTTGACTCATATTCTTTCAGTGTCATTATTTTATTTCTTTTTGAAGAGAAAATTACAAAGATTTATTTGAAAAATTCTAAAAGTTATGTATACTATATATGTGTATATATATTGTAAACATGTATTAAATGTGTCTAGTAAGGGAAGACTCCATGGGTGCATTTTAATGTTTTAGTATTAAGAGTTCTCTTGAGTTTGTGTATACAAAGGATAATGGTGTGAGTATGAAATGAATGTTGTGCTTTTGCTTACACAATACAATATGTAGTTACAGTTGTTTAAATTGCTGTACATAAAAACTAATAGGCCAGCATGCTTGTTTTTCAAGACTGTCATTCTGATTACAATTGGAATGTAAGAAGTGGCTGTTCAAATGTGAATTGAAAGATGTTTCCTTCTCATTATTGAGCTCTTGCTCAAACTGAAAAGTGATATTTTTTTTTTTAAAGCTGGCAATAGCTAGAGGATGAGGTGCCTTTAAAACAAAACAAATGTAGCCTTACAAAGAGGTTGTGGAGTATATATATTTTTGTGCTTGTCTTCATAATTGATGTCAATGTCTTTTTACTGTACTTGCTCACATACTTGTAGGACTGCAGGGTATTGTGCATGAGCCTGTCAGGTCTTCTGAACATCATCATAGGAGATAGGGTTGAAAAATTATCTAGGCTATCTAGTCCATCTGCTTGCTAATGCAGGGTTGTAGACTTGTGTTTTAATATTGTCTTGGCCAGTGAGATTTTATATATGTTCTAAACAATGAGGCTTCCGTTCAAAGATTATTTCAATGATTACATCTCACTGACAGGAGGATTTGTGTGATGTTTAGTAGCTATTTTTTGTAACTTCATGCCAGTATTCCAAGCCATGTTTTGTGCCATTCTGCATATTCCTCATGGTCTATGTAATTTGGAACTTGCATGCACAACTGGTTCTATCTGGGTATTTCCATTCCTTTCTGCTTTCTTCAAGCTATTTTTTAAGTCTCCTCGTTTTTACACAACTTTTTCTTGTTTTCAACTTTTTAGCTCCGTTCTCCATATCTTGGTGTCTATACCACTATTCCACATGCATGATTTATTGGACTTAGTCATCTGTTAAGAGTGGTGGTTGTTTGGTTGGGCTTATCCTCTGTAACATGATGCTTTTGTATAGGAAGACCAAACTTTTAATGTCTCAGAAACCCAAATCATATTTCTCTATTTCTGACAGCTGCTTTAAATAACTTTGAGCATTGCTGCTTTTTAAGTTTCTTCTTCCCTTTCAGTACGTTGCTATGATTCTTTTGCAGCTAGAGACTTAATTCATGTTTCATGATTATCCTGGGTCTTATAAGCTTTGAACTTCTGACCTCTGAGGGCACTAAATTATTTTTATTTTCTCCCTTTTTATGTGCAGTTCTTCCTGGTTCAGTGTAATTGGTAACTTTGATTAATTGTGATACATACATTTATTGAAACTGTAAACAAAACTGGACCTAAGGCTTATTCTTGCAAAACCCATTTTTCTGCAACATCAGCATATAGCATTTTACCATTACTATTTTTCCCATATCTAATTCACATGGTAATACTTTTAATGGTAACTTATAATTGTTTGTGTATGTTAGCCTGTGCTACTGATTTTGGTTTTACTAACTAATTTAATGGGAGAATTTTCAGTCCTTCTGTATGCTGAAAGTTGGTCTGCTAGTTTTAAATACTCTCACTTTTATTTCTAATTTACTTCACTGTGCTACTTGCTTTCACATATTTGATTCAGTTACCAAAACGCTTGCACAGAATGATTTGAGAGTCGCCTGGAAGAAGCTCTAGATATATCGTGTCACTCTTACAAAATCCTAGTGTCTGCATTTATCTTTTTATTTTTGTGCCTCAAAGAGAAAACTTCTGACATACCACATAAAAGATTTTACTACTTGTAAGAGAATCACCTGATGAATATTTTGGGATCTTATTCATCTTTATTTTGATAAAATATGTTCTTTAGCAAGAAGCCTCTAGAACTATATGCTACATTGTTTAGGTTATTTTTTTTAGGACATATATTTTCAAGTAATGTTACATTAAAGCAGTCCCATATGTAATGTGTTTGTGTAAGTGTGTGATGTTCACCATACACCTTTGTGATTAGGTCGTACAACACCATTTTTAAGTTGTGAATTTAAAGTAACCAGAAACTTGACCTTTTGGCTAAATGTGTGAGAGATAAAGGACTTAGTCATATCACCTTTTCAGTACACCTGTTGGATCACAGATGTGTCCTCCCCTTTCCCTTCCTCCTTACCTTTTAACAGTGTAATTTTGAGGAGCAGCAATTTCCATAAACTGATGTGTCATTTGAGCAGTGTTTGATGGGTAGAAGTGTTAGTCCATCCCAAAGGAAACAAAAAATTGAAAAGTGGGCATAACCTTCAGATAAGCAAGTTTGGGTTTTCTTTTAATGCCTTTCAAGATGTGTATTTGGAAGCATTTGCAGGCTGTGGTTTGGCAGTGTGTTTGCAGACTGTCCTAGGCATCCAAGAATACGCTTGATATCTCTGTGGAATCCCTAGTAAACCCAAGTTCTATTAAGGAAGAAAATGCAGCCATTGTGGTTGTCCTGTGCTGGTGGAACAGACTGTAGGAGTGTTCTCCTTGGAGTCCTTTTTGCTGAAGCATCAGGTTTGCAATTTAACACACCTAATGTCTGTACTATAGGAGTATCTGCAAATGAAGTTATTGATAGTTTTACTTTGAAGGTCTGTATGCAGTGATTATATGAATTGTGTGCTGAGCAGCAAAAGAAACAGGGAGACCATTTGTTGAAATCTTGAGGGGATAGATAGTAGGTTAAACAGCCAGAACCAGTGTGCCCTTCATGTGACTGGTGTCATCATAGGAGAATTTGGCTGAGGAGCAGTGCAATGATTAGCCCAATGGTACCACAGAGGAAAGCATTAAAAGGTTAGAGTAACAAGTTTAGCAAGGTTTTCCCAAGGTTGTAGGTTGTTTGAAGCATAAAATCTGTATAGCCAGGTTCCAAATTACGCACTCTTTTTGTCAGAATAAAAGGTGAAGATTGTTCAAATTTCAGAATTTTAGATGAGGAGATGACAAGAGGTTTGTAATAGCTATTACTTTAATCCTAAGAACAGACTTACGCCTCTGCCAACATAGTCTTCATGCTGGGGACCCAGTTATGTGAAGGTGAGCTCCTCAGACACTGTAGTGAGACTACTCTTTTGCTTCTGGATATATATTTTACATACTGTGCTATCTGTGTGACACAAACAGCCCATTCTGTAACAAAATACATTTTTGGTACTTTCTCATACAAAT